CAATTAGTTTTTCCAAAAAATAAATAGTTTAAGCAAAAAACGTTTGGTTTCAGACTTTTTATTCACCTGGTATATTTTTCATAATTATTCAGGAAAGGTACAAAAACTTTGCCACAATAACGTTAAAATTAAACGCTGGGCCATATAAAATTGTCTTCTACTTTTTAAGGTTACTTATCGACAGATTTTTTTCAAAATTTGGCAATATACTTACATAAAATATTTTTCTTTCGTAGCAAGCTTTAATTTTTTTTAATTAACTTTTTAAGGATAAAATGTTAACTTGATATAGTTACAATTCAGGATACAGTTTCTTTGTTTCCTCTATACTAATAGTCTGTTGCAAAAAAAACATGTAAAATTATTTTCCAACAGAAATAAATAGGGTCATGTGCAAAATTTAAACCCCCGTAATTTAATTTTTTTTTTCTTTTGTTCCTGGTATCTTAACTTACATGGCATTTTTCTCTGTATATAAAATAAATGTCATATTTTATAAAACACTACCAAATAACTGACACAAAAATAACAAATGTACAAATGCCCTAAACATAATTGAAAAAATTGAAAAACAGCCTCAGCTACGTCAAAATATAGCAATCATGATAAAAAATAATTTTCAAAATACATATTGAAAAATTTTGAATTTCTCTTATATCCGATACAGACTAACCAACTAAAAGTATTTACATTACTACCTTCCTGTGTTAAGCCCAATTGTGGTTTAAAAAAAAAATGTTTCTTTATTTTTGTGACTTTTAATTTTTGTAAGAGAGCAGTTTGCGTGGATGTGGCATTTCCGGCTCTCCCTGTATGTAAATCCCTCAATAATAACGCTAAAAACAAAGCTGGTTGTTTTTTGAGTCCATCTCGCATGGGGCTGTAATCCTATTGGGTAGGTCGAAGCGCCAGTCGGCTTAGAGCAAACGAAAGCGGATTTGCAGTGGGTTTCAGGAACAAGCCACTCGACTGTCATGTGGCACAATTAATTTGCCGTCAATCCGATCAAAGCTTGTTCAAACAGCTAATCCGTGTTTATGTCACTGCGTCGCTGCTTAATTAGTTCCCGACAGGGCCCTTGGTCCAGGCCCGGCTTCGAAACCGATAAATAATAGCCCTAGGTGGGACATTTGTTCTGGCTTTTATAACACGTTTAATGGCGGTTGTGGGAAGAGCACTAAAACTGTTCATTTTTATGTGCGAGGAGATAAAAGTGTGTCGAGAATCGAGAAATGTTAGGAATTGAAATGTTTCAAATTTTTATAGAAGGCTTTTCGGCTTGTAAATGATCTGATCGGGACCAGCGTTCAGAGATAAATTTACAAGTTTATTTTTTCAACCAGCCGATCTTATCGGATTTATTCACGCTCGGAGATAAAATGAGTTTACTGCCAAAGGACGACTCCATCAATATTCGGACAATATATGCTGAAAACACATTATCGGAACGAGAATGGGACGAGGTGGGTGTCAAGAGAGGAGCTACCGACTATAAACACCCATATTTGGGACACCTATAGAGGCACAACTGACGCCACTTGGGCGTAAGCGGCCTTTACACGTGATGCAAAACTCAAAAAACTTAAAAATAGAACGTCTATATTTTTTCTAAAATAAAAAAACTATTCTAAATAAATTGACAAAAACTGAAAATTTTGCGTTTTTTATGATAATGTTTTTTGCACATAGTAGATACTTAATTATTTGTAAAATGTAGGTCGAACAAGGAACAAGGCTCCTAGACAGTGCAATAAATTTGATTTTTTTTACGAAAGTGGTAGAAAAATAAAAAGCAAAAACCTGGGAATTTATATGTAAATGGCCGGCTTTGTCGTGTTTTATGGTTATTTCAGACACTCGAGGTGTTGTTTGAAAGATTAGTGAGCGTTTTTTCCCCGCTGATATTTCACACCTCGATCTCGGAGCAATTTCGTAATTCCCATAGCATTTCAATTGGACTGAGATCCGGCCCGCCGCCGTTCAATAAACAATAATAATAATTAACCAGCCGTTAATTAATGTTTCAACAAGCTGAACCTCGACTTTTATTAACTACAGAAGTAATTAACGTCCTTTACGACGCCATAACACTCAATAATGATTTCGTGAAAGCTCGATGAACCAAGAAAGTGGATTTAGAATTTTGAGAAAATCGCTGCTATCTGACGAGTAAATCTGCGCGAAAAACGTTAATTGGACGCGCTACGTGAGAACCTGTGATAATCCTCGACGGTTTAATATAGTCATAAAAATTACGGATATTATTCCGTGTGATACGACCAAGTTTCCTGTAGGAATAAACAAGTCGAGATAAAGCTTTATGTTCGATATCTGGTCGCTGCCGCCCTTGTTGCGATTTTTTTCATATTTTTTTCCACCAATCAGCATAGGCAATGAATGCATCCGATCTAAGATAGACATGAAAGTCTAAGCGAAGGATACAATTTGATGATATTAATAAAACATAATATGAATTATTTATGGACTTGTATGGAGTGCAGTAAGGCCATGCACGACAAATCCGGACTTTATATGGCCACTATCAACATTTATTTCTTTATTTCGTTTAATTCCATCGAGCATTATTCAATTAATTAGATTAAGCGGATTAAGAACCGAGTGGAAAATTGCTGTTGAATAAGTTATGGACGTAGCATAAAGGAAATTTATCTTGTGGCGAGGTGGCGGCGGAACTGCACGTTACTGAACTCAAATAGCTTTTTTATAACTGTAAAATTAAAATTGCACAGATAACAACGGGATATTGTCTGGAAATAGCGTGATGAGCGACTGAAAATTGTTGGGATGATAAAAATAGACCAGTTTTATATCTCGGGAAGAATCTTTGAGAACTACACCTTGTTTAGGTTCAAAGTGGCAAAATTTTTAAATAATAACACTATAGTTAATACAATTTTTATACCTTAGCTAAAAGTTATAATTTCTTATAGATTTTGAGTTCAAAAAAAAATATTGAAAAAAGTCCACCACGTCAGACTTAAGAAATATGCAATTAACAAAAATACAAAAATGAGTTATTTTACTTTGTTTCTTTATACTTTTGTGGATCAGTTTCTTTTATAACTGTCCAACAGTATCTTCTAATATATTTTCACCCCAAAAATCTTTGTGTCGTTCTTCTGAAACTCTTTAGATCTTGATGAAAAAGCCCCCTTTTTGTATCACTCATGCTGTCTAAGTTTTTAGAAAAGAAGTCCAAATGCTATAGTCTCGTAATGGTTTTGCAATAATTCAGCAACAGTTTAAATTTTAAATAAATTTTAATTTCCTGCAGAAAGCAGGAAAACTATCGTTCGAACAAAAAACTGTGACGTGATAAAAAAACAATTATTTTTGTTTAATTGAAAGTAAATAAACATAAAAATAATAATTTGATTAAAGAACAAGTTATTGTTTCTAAACCATTAAATTTTGTAATACTGTGGTTAAAAAACAAAGATTTGATACAATTGAATGATAGATAATAGATTAGCTTGACCAGACTTGACTTGACTTAACGTTTCAAAAATTTTCAGATTTAATACAGGTGGTTCCGTCTAAACCCCACATTAAAAGTATTGGGAGTTCAAATAATCATATTTATTTCTTCATATTTTGGCACTATTTGTCAAAGAATAATTTACTGTTGACGCTTGTTTAGACAAAATTTTGACATTTCTCATTTCCATATCAAACTATGTGAAAACGGGTGTGGCTAGCAATAAATTTTCTGTAGTCTTAACAAAAAGTCCATAACTTGAAAATTATTAAATGGAATTAAATATTATTAAATGGGAATGTTAAAACAGCTTAATGCACAATTAAATTCTCTTCTATTTAGTAAAATAAAAATTGGGGTATTTTATTTGAAAAAATTGAGTTATGATTATTTGAATTACTACAAAAGTAACCTTAAAATTTTGAGATATTATTTTTTTTTTCAAAATTTGAAAATACCAAAAAAAGGATCTAAGCTTTTTCTTTCAAACGCCAAAAAAAAACGAATTCAAAATCTTAAAAAATGGCAAAGTTACCGATTTTTAAAGTGTAAGGTGCAGATCCAAAATTTTTTGAAAAACTCCAAATATTTCAAAAACGGATAAATTTAGAACTTAATGGATTATGGGTATGTACCAATTTTCAAATAAATATATTTTTATTCCAACTCCCAATATTTTTAATGTGGGGTATAAACAGAACACCCTGTATAACTCATTAAGATACAACATGATCTCACTTGCCATACGTTTCAAAAAAATTTCGAATGAAACAATTTTCCACTTTCAAATTTATCGATTTAACTTTAATTTTGCAGAGTCTGGCTAATCTAAAGTTTGAAAAAAAAATAAAACAATTTCTTCGTTTTTTTTACCGAAATCTTTTTCTTTCTGACAATGCATATCTTAGGTCTACATCAAGCTCTACAAAACCAAGAAAGAAAATTTAAGGTAAAATACTACATTTCATCATAATACTTCACATGTAACAAAAATTTAATCATTTATTACAGATAAAAAATTTAGATATTTTGTAAATAATAATATAGAAGTTACATATAAAAATTAAATTTCAGTGTGTCCAATAGTTATAAAACACTGTATATCACATATTATATCAAATTGTTTTAAAAATGTATTTTAAAGTACTGAAATAGTTGTGTACTATATTAAAACTAAATATGTAAAAAACTATTTTGACCTGACCTGGCCTGACTATTTAGAGCTGTAGTGGTAAAAAATAATTTTTGGATCAAAAAATCTCAAAATAGTAGACTTAAATCTAATTTAAGACAAAATTTAACCGTTTAGTAATTAATTAATGAATTTCTTAATGCATTTAAGCACTGTTGCTCACCTAGGTTTGCAGTCATCCCCTCCAAGTCCTTGGGCTTCCTCTTCCTAGGCCGGCCCTTTTGCCTGGGCGTCGTAGGCGCCCCATTGAAGAAAGGAACTTTACCGATAGACTCGACAGGCGTCGGTGGAGGTATCTGGTGGTGAAACTCCGGACTGGGAAACGGTGGCGGATAATGGTGCATTCCGGGCGGGAACATTCCCGGAGGCAGCGGTTCCGTCACCGGCATTTCGAAATGTAGCCTACACAAAACCGCCCCATCTCTCATCCCGAAATGGTCCCCTTTCGTCAAAGGGGAGTTGCAGACGGCGCAGGAGAAGCAGTGCACGTGAAAGACGAGATCGCGAGCCCTCATTACTAATTCCGACGAGATGATGGTGGCTTGACACCGCGCGCATCTCTTCATCCCAAACAGCCTGAAAAAAACGATAATTAAGGGTGAGATGACACAATAAGCCTGTTTCCGGTGAATAAAGGTGCGTGCGGTTTGAATTATGACGATATAAAATAAATGAAGCGGTTCACAGCGCCGCTACGGCCCCGTCGAGCACTATCATAAATTTCGCCTTAATTAGATATTCCGGAGTGGAACAATAGTACATTCATTCATTCATGTGCTCGGTCTTGCAATTTTATGTTTCCTAAATTAGGTGTTAGATTTTATCGGAAGTGGCCAAAACCATGACAAACGTCGGACTTTTCATGATATAGAAGCCCAAATTATACGTTTACGAGGAGACGGATGCTTAATTTGTTTTTACTTATTGTTGGGCATTTTTTTGAATTTTCTTGTCTTATCGGATATCTTGACGAATTTGAATTGTTAAAATTACAGTGCGCGCTTATCTTCTTCACATACTCATTCATCTTGTCATAAATCTTGCGCAGTGGCATCCCGTAACTCACGTTTCCAAAAAGTTACGGGTTTTGTGAACTGGGACTTGGCAGCAGCGCTGCTGGAAATTTTTATTACAAAATTTGCGAGAGATGGACGTTATTTATTACCATTATGATCTTATCAACAGAAACGTATTCACATTTTTAATATAAATTATACTACACTTTTTGATTTTTAATAACCTATGGTATTTAAGATTTTTTTGGTCTAGAGCTATAATAAATCATCGTTCACTGATTTCTTCTCAACCGCCAAATCATATAGAATAGAAATTAATCTTAAAATCTCCAATAATACAAAAGAGGTGTTGCAGCTTTATATCACGTAAAAACAAAAAAAAACAAAACAAAAAGTTAAAAATAACAACAGAAATAAAAAAACTAAAAAACCGAGTATTCTCCATTAGATGTATGTATGTAGGTACTTATTCCACTTCTACATATCTGATGATTTTTTTTTCAGTTCTAGTTTCTTTTTTATACAAAATTCCTGAGCTTAAATGACATTTATTCAATCCTCTATGTTAAAATTGAATTTTATCTATTCTTTTCTTCATGTTAAAATGAAATTTTATCGTCTAGATGATAGAAAAATACATCCATTGTGTATATCTACGGCTGTTAGTTGTTAACGATCTCTGACATTAGATTTCATTGTTGAATTTTACTTTGACATTTATAAATATCGACCAAATTGACTACAAAATTAGTGAGGATTGAATAAAATTTTATATTGTACATGACGATACAATTTTCATTATCTTTTCGAGAATATTTGCTCAAATTGCTTTCAAAAATAAAATTCAATTTTATCGTTTTGTATAATAAATAACTATTAAATATTTCAAATGTATAAAATCGCTTATCATTTCTTTTTATTTTCTACATATTTTTATCTAAACTTTGTAAAATTTATTTTTCTTAAAAAGTTAGGTAAGTTCAAGTAATTTTTTTCAAATGTTCCTTTCTAATTTTTAGATTAATTGTTTCCCCGTGTTTAATATCTTCCATGATTACTTGTGCTGTGTTTTTTCATTATTGTTGAACCAAAAAAGTAGACTCAGGTCTCCCTGACAGCCTTAAATAATTCGGTAATCATTTAAGCCACTAAAGTGAAAAATTTGTTGTTTGACATAACTCGAAATTGCTTGTTTTACAGAGTTTCAAGAAAGATAAATTTGCTGTTAATCTAACTCGACCCAACACATTTGGCAAACTACATTGCCAGCTGTTTACAAAAACGCAAATCAAACTGTAACAAATATAGTGGACCTCTCTGCCCCCTGTTGTGTATCAATTATTTTCATATTTCAGTTTGTCTCCGTAATGAAACATTTTTCAGGTGTTTTCACTTTTCACGGTCCATCGTGTCGGCCGCCGATGCGGATTATTGGGTTTAAGCCAAAGTGGTTGATGGATGCGGCTATTTGCGGCCTCTTTAACGTTATAACCGTATAAACTGCGAGCCGATCAGTTGAATGGGCTCACTCGGGCATATGTTACATATTATACCCGTGTTTGAGTCAACAGGGGGCCGGCTATTATTCCCCGTACAAATCAAACCGTTCCTTTATGTATTTATCTCCGACAGTGCAACGAAAAAATAAACCGGCCTATAGAAAAATAAATAAAAATCACGCATGCACGAGGGGATTATTGCACAATTTGTTCGCCTAATTTCGAATGGAACTATTTTTACGTTTGTGGGGACATTAAAAACAGAGAGACTTTAATTAGGCAATCAGAGACGGAATTTATTAGTAATTTATGTCATCAGACGCGGACTTATTCAAAATTTTAATTGCGACGACGTGAACCGTTGAGATATCACGCACGCAACTAACACTCGATGGATATACAAGGAAAAATTACGAAATTTACATTCTGGGAGATTAAATTCTGAAAGTGGAGCTTTATGACCGCGTTCTGGCAACTTCAGTAGCTGTTTTAATTTCACTATTTTTCAGGTTTATTTCTGTAATTTACAAAAATCGTCTTATTTTTATTATTCTTAAATCCAAAAAAAGACAAAAAATAGAAGTAATAAGCAAGTAAATAATTAAAATAAAGCAATGAATCTTCTTAAATTTTCTAATTTCCAAAAATTATCTTGACTTTTTTATGACTTTTAAATTAAGAATGTTCTGTGGCTGTTTCAGTTTCACTATTTTACCCAATTCTATATCAAAAAAAAGTGTAAAAGTCAATTATTCAAATGTTAAACCGGGTTTACAATATTAATTTTTTCTCACATATGAGCAAGGATGATTTGTATTGTCTTACCTGACACAAATCCCCATTTGTTTGAACAACTTATTATGGTCTAAGCCACCAACAAAAGAATTATTATGTCCGAAGATTATTAGCAGGTTTTATGTTTCAATGCCACTTGATTGTTGAGTAATAAAATATCCAGAAAAGTCTTGATGATTATTATTTGCTTTTCTATTCATTTTCTTATACTTTTATACAAGTGTCAGGTGATTAATAATTTATTAAGATTAGTTTTTTATGTTTCTTTCATTTTCAATCTGAATTTTGTCAGTCAAAATTTTTATTATTAATAAATTTAAATACAAAACAAACAAACAAATGCATAATAAATAACGATGAATAAAAGACTAGTTTTTCTTCGTTTCCTTCTTTGTTGTTTTTTATTGCAATTTTCATTCTCCTCAGGCCCGAGCTGTCCCTTTCCCGAAACCGAGATTATAATAAACTAAACATTGACACAATCCCTGAAAAGATCGGCTTCCTGAAACGAGAGATTTCAACGCCCAACCCGGCCACAAAAGCCATTCCGCTACATCTGTATCCGAATCTGCTTAGGGCTTCGACGTCCAGTGCGGCGGCTTTTGTGCCTTCTTTGTGCGTACGTAAGAGTCGACGGGGGGCCGGCAGCCCCCCTGCGGCTAACGCACAAACAACAATACGCTTTTTTATGCCCCATTGTGCGCGTGTTTGTACGAATGTTTTTCTATTTGTTTCTGTATTTCCCCTTTCGTGTGAACCGCAGAAGAGTATTAACAACATTCACGGGCGATTGGGTCGAAATCAGAATTTTATATGCAACGGTGACACCAGTGACGGCGTGTTGGCAAAAGCGCCCCCCGGAGATTTATTTATTCATCAACTCAAAAGCCCTTTGTCATAAGTGGTATACATTATTTTTTCTAGTAAGACTTTTGACTACAGTACAACCTCCATACTCCGGATGGACACAAAATATATACATTAAAAAATTGTTTCTATTGTATTTTGTTAAATTTGAGGGTTTAGATTCATTTATTCACTAGTGACTAAAGCAAAAAATGTTTTCTCGTTTGTTTTACTTTATGTTGTGGTTACCATCGGTAAATGTAAAGTAAAATAGGGCATTGCATAAATTTGGCTTGAGTGAGGAGTTGCGTGCAGTGAAAGGACAGGAAGACAAGACACATCCGTGGAGTTTAGTGCTGCATGGTCGGTAAGCACAGGCGCCGCCGACTTGACTAACTCGAGCTTTTTCATTAACGTGAATAATTAGTTGCTAGAGGTAGACCTGCATTAAATCAACACAAAAAAATGAATTACGACCAACGGAAACTATATAGCAGCGACGGGGAACTGGTAGGAAGACTTGCACCAGCATGAACTATTTTTTTTTTGTATTTTCTCATGTTGTTTTTCTTATCCTTACACCTTATTAACGTTGCTTTTTTCATTTTATTTTTTCTACAAAATAAAAATCTACTTAACACAGAATCCAGTGTCTGAGATATTCTAGTTTCTCTTAAAGCTTTTTCAATAAAAAAATAATAATCAAAACAAATTTTTAAAAATTAATTTTACTTGCAAACAGAAAAAAACACCTATACACTTTTTTTTAAGATCGGTTCTTGCTGATGCACGCTGTAGTTATTAAGAAAATAGAATATTTATTAAAAAAAGTGACAAAACTTCATAAAATTACCATTCAAAAGCTAGAACAAAATGTTTTAGTCCGGAAAGTCCGCATTTCAGTAATTGGGTAGTCTCCTAGAGTACTAAAAATATGTTCAAAAAATTCTATCTGACATTTGACATTTTTTTATGTCTATTTAAAGATACTGATGATCTTGTATATGTTTTCTTATAATGTAAAAGTACGAAAATTTTTGTCATTAAAAGCCACAACACTAAACAGAGTTACTGTGTCCTAAGCTTCCTTGTTTGCTCTTCTAATAGCCTGTAGCAAAAAAACTTGAAAAATTATTTTTCCAACCGAAATAAATAGAGTCAAAGTGCAAAATTTAAACTCTCATAACTTCGAATAGATATTTTTTTTTACATTTTTCCTGTTGTCTAAGGCATCGCCTGATGATACAGTGTCACAAAAATGCGCGATTTTCTGTTTTAAATAGTTATTATTTATGTGTTTTTTTTGAGAACTGAAAGCATGAAACAATTTTCTACTAGCTACACTAAGAGGTAGATTATGTCAGCAAAAATAAAACCTAGCTTAAAATTAAAATTTAAGATCAAATAAAAAAGATTGTAT